CGCTCTTGTTACCCAGGCTGGAGTGCAATGGCGCGATCTCGCTCACCGCAACCTCCGCCTCCTGGGTTCAGGCAATTCTCCTGCCTCAGCCTCCTGAGTCGCTGGTGGATCACGAGGTCAAGAGATCGAGACCATCCTGGTCAACATGGTGAAACCCCGTCTCTACTAAAAATACAAAAAATTAGCTGGGCATGGTGGCGCGTGCCTGGCATGTATTCTTTAGTCTGTTCTGAATTTATGCAGTAAGAGTCCCTTATACAATTTTATCCACACGTGAACACAATAAAAATAGGTTTCTGGTCCCACATAACTGAGAACCAGACCCTAAATAATGGCAGATTCTCCAAGATGAAAACCACCCTGTGTGATTTTCCTCATAACTCATTTTTTTGAAAGGTGAAGGTAGGGATAGATTTCTGTATTACTCAAACAGAAAATAGGTAGAAAAATATATTCAGCAAACTACTGTACTAAATATGCCTAGTTAACACCAAAAAATCTCAGATTTTAAGTTTTTGAATATGTAGTATAATTATAAGGTAATAAAATTGATTTCTGTAAGATTCATCTAAATTCACCATTTCTAAGTTGTATCTCTACTTGTATCCATGAACTATTCTGTCAAGAGAAATTATTTAATCCACCATATTGACTAGTGTACTATAATTATCTGTATTCCTTGTCAATGTTATATATATGGTAAAACTATTAGTTTCTTGATAATTAAGGTAAATATACTAGTTTCTCTTATATCTTATTCCTGTAGCTTATTTATGCCTTTAAAAATTCATTTAGCATTTATGCTTTTGTTTCTAAGTGCTACTTAATTTAGGAATGTTATACATAGTTTTCCTATCAACAGGTGTTATAAAAATGTTGTGTGTTGCCACTAATGCTTTGCCTTTACTTGAGCCTCTGCTGCACAACTGAATATAATACATACACTGTTCTCAAACTACATAGCATAACATTTAAAAGATTGGAAATATAGAACAAGGAAGAGAACAGATTCCTTTTACTTGAGTACAGTCCTGTTATCACAAGATAATCTGCTTCCATTTTCACTTTTGTTTAGTAAAACATTATGTTAATTTGTTAAAAATTTGTGTACTTTTTAAGTAAACTCTAGGGGCAGAGTATTTTTACATTTAATATTCCCAACAGAGAACATTTCATATCAGAAAAGATTCATTTGAATGTAATTGACAGTTATTTTTAAAACATAACACTGGATTCTACAGAAAGGAAGAAAGATTTGTGTGTTGAGAGGATAATATTGGTTTCATTTGAGAATAAAGACTATTCATAGTACTTTAATTAAACAAGATATTATGGAGTTTCTCATGCGTCATATCATTTACTTGCATCTAAAATTTTAGTATTTCAAACTTTTTACACATTTCTAATAAATCTGCCTAAGTTTTTAGAATATAATTATACTATAGGTTTTATAATATGAACCTAAATTAGATGTATTCTTTGACTTTTTTTATTCTAAAATTCTGCTGTAGGATTTGGCCAATTTAAGTTTGAAAATAAAGGAAGAAAGATGGGCCTCATTATGCTTTCTCAATACATGGTTATTCAGATCAGTTATATTTAATATTGACTCTGTGTGTCTTTAATCTTTCCAGTGCAAATACAGCTGCTGATACTTTGTGACCATAAGAATATTAACAAAGGAACATATTGCTCTTTGATTCAGCTTATCTCAACACAACCATAAAAGCAGTTCCTATCAGATGATTCATTTCACAACATCCTGACATTGATCTACATAGAATCAATAAGTAAAAGTAATGCTTCAATTCTGTGGAACTTCCAAGGAAGTACCTGGGCTCTTAGAAGCCTAGACTCTTTCCACTGTGTTTAGTTGAGCCTCTGATGCACAATTGAATGCAATATATATGATTTGTAATAGTGAAACAAAGGCTTTAGAAGAACGTATATACTTCATAGCAAATGCTGGTCTTGTAACATATTTTGAAAAAAAATGGTTCTGGTAATCAACTAGACTTAGAGACCCTGCATACTCTATCATTGTCTTAAAAATGTAAGTTATGCTTGAAAAACATTAAAGATTCTGAGAACTTCTGCAATAAAAAGCATGATAACCTGTTTAATTCAGGATTCTCAAAACTTACTTGAAGAAGGAATAGTGCCTTTCCTTTCTTATTAATGAACATGCAGTTTGCAGAGCATATTATGCTGAATGCTGGTGTCAACTGCAGTTAAAATGGCTGAAAAGCAGTCAAAATGCTGTCTTAACCATCTCTCCTCCAAGGCACCCTCTAAAAGTTCCTGGTAGCCTGGATCTGCAAAATTATCAAGTTAACCCTGGAAGTCTGCCCTAGACTTGGAGAACATTTTAACATTGTTTGAGGCCACAAGAGTTTTACTGACTACATCATGCCTTGAGAGACATTTCACAGCCTGAGAAAACTATGAGTACACTCAATGTACCAACTTTCCAGTCTGAGTGTATCTTCCATTTTCAAAGTATTTCATCTCTGACTGTGAGAAACACACATTCACCCATCCAGACCCAAAGAAGGGATTCGGAGACCCAGAGAACAGCTGAAGCGAGACTTTTAATGGCAGTCTTGCAAGATCAGGTGTCTGGTAGGCAGGCACACCTGGGGCAGTGACAGCAGGCAATTTATCTCCTAGTACACAAATCCCTCCCCCAGTTCCTCATTGGTCAAGTACAATGGGGTTGCAATCTTCCTTGATGTCGCCTAAGTTTCATTATCCCCCTTATAAAGTTATACCTCGTCCTCTTCCCTGCTTAAGTTTCAATTTCCCAATAATGAAACTTCCTTCCCTTTTTTGGGCTGACCCCTCCTCCACATTCTGTTTGCCTATTGTGACCCTCTAGGTGCATGAGCCATGCGGCTTGTTACATTTGCAGGCTAACTGCCAGTACTTAGATTTATCATGCCTTGAAAATGGACCATTTAAAACAATTTCTTACAAATTCCCTCTTTCCTATTTACTTTCTTTGGTCTCATTTTCATTCAAACCCTTTGGTTCTTGAATCACACTAGAAATTGTTTACGTTTTTCCTTAGAAGAGAGTGTGTTTAATTTGGTTTTTAATAATAGTAGGTTATTTTGCTAGTAAGTTATGGGCATTTGTTTATTAATAGCTGTTTTAATTTATCTCTGTGCTAGTCCCCTTACACAAGGGATGATACAATCTCACTGCTGTCAAGACTCATGCCACAGTTATGAGAGATACAAGAATTGACACTACCATGCCTTTTTATTTTCCAAACCAACCTTGTAGCCAACCCATTAATGGGTCATTAATTCCAGCATTTTCTGCCAGTTAGTTGGCTAGAGTTGTCAGTCCTTGTAAAGCTTTTGTGATGGTCCTATCTGGGGCAGTATTGCTGGGAATGAAAGTACAACATTTCCCACCCAACTTAACACAGAAGAGTGCTGTCTTAAACCCAGCAGCTATTTGGATTCAGGCCTTAAACTTATTAGGCAACCCCCTAAGGACTCCTATTGAGTTAACATATATATTGAAATCAAAAGAATTTGTTAGATCTCTCCAGTTTAAGTGGCCATGTGGGTATTTTATGGAATGCCAGGGTGAAGGGAATGGCCAATTGGAATAAAGCATAAGTTCTGGTCCAATTGGATGGTAAGAAGTTATACAGAGGTTCCTTTTCCCACAATACCACCAGAAATTAGCCCGGGGTATGTGGAGAGCTGAGTAATTGACATTGTCTGACTCATCAGTGACATTTAGGATTTGGGTACAAGACAGGAGTCACCCTACGGGCTTACTGAACTCTGCCCCCTGCCTAGAGAGGCAAGAGAAGTGGTTCATATTTCCTACAGAAAACTAGGGGATTGCTCTGGGATCTGATCTCTGCAGTGTGAGAAAGAGAAATGACAGACTCTTACAAGTAAAAGTCTTATTTCCCCATGCATGCTTGTCCTGGTATAGAGCCAACATGCAGTGCATTCCTTTAGGATTGTTATCTCATCCTAGGGGAAATGGAACCACCTGTGCCTGAGGTTGTCCCACAGCACACTTGTAGCAGTTACTCTTCTTGAGGGCTTGTATCAAAAATTTGAGCCATTAGACCCAGGCATTCACATCCCCATACGCTGTCTCAATTTCTAAGATTCACCTTTACCTTATTTTTACCCTTTTAGAGTCATTATTTGGTGGACTAAAGTGTTTATAAGAGTTTGGGGTTGGAGTAGTTCCAGGCAAATGGGAAGCTGAGTTCTTGATTAGTTTAAGAACAAGTTGCCCTAGGGAGTCTTTCCCTGTGACCTCTGCCCTCACCCATATACCGGACATGCTACTTTTGGTTCTTGGTTTAGAATTGCTGGATTGTTAATGGTGATGAGTATAGGATTGCATTCTAAATCCTGTCAGTTATCTGATTGGGTGTCCTTGGACAGAGGTAGTTTATTCTTTAAGGGTCTCCAGCTTGGAGTTACCCACCCCATGTTTACTGCCTAACCCTGAAATTGGGTAGTCCACCATATGCCCTACTGTAACCCATATCTGGTTCAGGGCAAAGATATTTATCTGCCTGCTAGAGCTGTCTCTGATTTTCCAAATTCCCACAGGGTAAGACCTGGCAGGCATCAAATCTTTTTTTTTTTTTTTTTTTTTTTTTAATATGGAACGTTTAATGAATTTGTGTGTCATGGTTTTGCAGGGGCCATGCTAATCTTCTCTGTGTTATTCCAATTTTAGCATATGTGTTGCCGAAGCGAGCACAGCATTAAATCTTATAGTTTGAGGTGCTGCCGTTTTGGTTACATTAATTACCAACCTGATTGGGTAGAGAGGAGTCCTCTGCCAGTTTCCATTTTGACCTTTTGCTTTTTGTATAGTAGCCCACCAAGCCGTATTAACTTTCAGAAATGGGGCCAGCCCATGTTTTCTTTTTAGATTTTTCTCAAAATTAACTTCAAGGGTTCCTTGGGTGACCCATGGACTTTCTACTGGTCTTTTTCCCTTCCTCCTGGGATCTCTTTTCCTAGTCCCTTGACTCGAGTGTGGTGAGTCCACCCCCGTCCAGCTGTTTGCATGGTCACATTTAGTGGTCAGGAGCACTTAATAGGGATATCCCCTGCTAGGATAGAGCTTGTCTTCTTTGCACGTTTTAATTAGCACCAAGTCACCAGGCTGGAAGTGGTGAACCACAAACTTAAGAAGCAGAGTTTGAGTCAGAAGTCCTTTTAACCTAAGGGATGACAGGGTGGAGGATATGGGCAGTATACAATTTCTTAAGAATTGGCTGGGTGTGGCGGCTCACGCCTGTAATCCCAGTACTTTGGGAGGCAGAGGTAGGCGGATCACGAGGTCAAGAGATTGAGACCATCCTGGCCAACATGACGAAACCCCATCTCTACTAAAAAAATATAAAAATTAGCTGTGTGTGGTGCCTGTAATCCTAGCTACTTGGAAGGCTGAGGCAGGAGAATGGCTTGAACCAGGGAGGTGGAGATTGCAGTGAGCCAAGACCAACAAGATCAAGCCACTGCACCACTCCAGCCTGGTGACAGAGCGAGATTCCGACTCAAAAAAAAAAAAAAAAAAAGAATTGATTCTTGGTTTACATAGTAGTGAGATTTGTAGCTCTTCCCAGCTATGGCATCACATATAATAACTTGTAGGGAGACAATTCCAAGTCATTTTTGGGGGATGAGTGGGGAACGGGCTATCCTAATCCTAAGAAATGCTATTGGAAGACATCTGATTCAAGGCATTTTAGTTTCTAAGATTAGTTTGGTGATATGCTTTTTGAGAGTTTGATTGATTCTTTTTACCTTTCCAGAGAAAGGGAGGTGCCAAAGAGTGTGATAATTCCATCTAATTTGTAAACTTTTTATAATTCCCCTTAACAGTCTTGAGGTAAAGTGGCTCCCATTCTCTGAATTAATATTTTTCACCAGGCCAAATCTAGGTACAATCTGTTCTAATATTATGTTGACACATTCCCAGCAGTGGCTATTGGAAGAGGAAAGGCTCCCACCTAGCCAGAAAGGTGATCTGCAATTGCCAGTGACTACTTTAATTTTCCTACTTTGGGCATTTCTGTGAAATTTACTTGAATGCTTTGAAATGGTCTTAGTTCAGGAGGTCTTCCTCTCATGGCCTGTTTTTTAACTACCTTTTTGTTTATCCTTTGACAAGTTATGTAACTTTCACATGCTTGTTTAGTGAGGGTATAAATCCCTATCCACCCGTGATTCCTAAATATTACATTACACAGAGCCTGGTGTAATAGCTCCCTTTGAATAATATAGATGTTAGGGTTTTTTTGGTTTTTTGGGGGGGATTTACTTATTATTTCTTTTCCATATAGGAAGTACCCTATTCCCATCTATAGTTCAAGTGATGCCTATCCTAATTCTTCCCTCTCCTCTCTGGTAAACTGGGGCCTTAATGCTACACTAGGAATGTCTGGGATCAGGCTAAGTGGTCCAATTTTTGCATTCAGGGAAGCTTGCTTAAAGCTTCATTTGCAACCATTTTCCTACAGCTTTTATAGTGTTCCCTTTTTGATGACCACTTACATGAACTACAGCTACCTCTGCTGGAAGCAGGAGCCTTTTTAAAACCTGTTTTTGACCAGCTCCCCTGTACTGATTCTTTTCCCCTGCTATTTATTAGACTCTGCTTTGTTTGGATTTTTTTTTTTTTTTTTNTTTTTAGATAGAGCATCGATCTGTCACCAGGCTGAAGTGCAGTGGCGCAATCTCGGCTCACAGCAATCTTAGCTCACTGCAATCTCCACCTCCCATATTCAAGCAATTCTCCTGCCTCAGCCTCCCGAGTAGCAGGGATTACAGGTGCGCACCACCACACCCAGCTAATTTTTTGCATTTTTAGTAGAGACAGGGTTTCACCATGTTGGCCAGGATGGTCTTAATCTGCTAACCTCGTGATCCACCTGCCTCAGCCTCCCAAAGTGCTGGGGTTACAGGCGTGAGCCACTGTACCCGGCCCAGATTTTTTTTTTTTTAAGTGTGTACTATACCACAAGCATATTTAGAATCAGTATATATAGTGTCTTCTTGGCCTTCAAGGACCTTTAGGCCTGGTTAAAAGGATGTAGTTTGGAGGTTTGGGCCAACTGGCCATTAGGTAATTTGCCTTTCTCACATAAGGAGTGTTTATTTTCATCAATGACATCATAACCATTGTGGTATTGCTATTGTTATATATAGTTGTCATTTTTTGTCTATCACTTGGGAGGACCCATTCACAGATAGCCTTATCCCATCATGTAGTGGAGCTTCCCTAAGATCTGGGCTAACTTTGGTTTTGTATTGTATGACATCTAAGCAGTTATGGTCTGATGTCTTTTGTTCCCCTCTCCTTTCCATAGGAAACTGGCTGGATTCAGGCAAGTATTTGTTGTTATGACCAAATCATTTTTTTCTAGTATTATGACTTCATATTTTAGAACCTGTGAATCTGTTAACCATTTCCTGGCTTTTTGGTTTAATATATTTCTGACCTGGTGTGGGGTGCTTAGTATTAGGGCCCCACCAAAGGTTAGCTTTCAACTCTCCTCTACTAGCAGGGCTGTGGCAGCTTCTGTTTGCACACATTTGGACCACCCCCAAGAGACAGGATGGAGAAGCTTGGAGACAAAAGTAACAGGTTGCCTCTTTCCTCCCCAATTCTGAGTGAGCAGCCCAAGGCCATGCCTTGGTCTAGTGTTATAAACAAATAGAATTGTTTTTCTAAGGATGGGAGGGCTAGGACCAGGGCTATAATAAGGGTCTGCTTTAGGTCTTTCATTGCCTGAATTTTCCCTGCAGAACATTGCAAGGGATTGGGTTCCTTTTTCAGTAACTTTAGATACAGAATTTTTGTCTTTTAAGCATATGAATTAATCCACAACCTACAGTAGCCAGTCAAACCTAAAAATTTTTGGAGTTCTCTCTGTCTTATGCAAAAGCAGACCCACTATTCCTGATATTCTTTCTGGGTTTATTCTCCGCATCCCTACTAATCAGGTGTCCTAAATATTTAACTTTTTTCCCCCTACAAATTGCAATTTATTCTTAGGATTTGCAATCTCCTTTCCCTTAGGAAATTAAGTAAGCTTACAGTGGTTTCTGATACCTTGGCCCTTCTCTCCTCAGAAATTAAAAGATCATTTATATATTATAACAACTGAATTGCCCTGAAAGGTTGGAATTCCTCCAGGACTTCTAAGGTTTGACCAAATAAACCTGAGGCATGCATGAAGCCTTATGTCAGCACAATCCAGTGGTATTACTGTTTTCTCCCAGTTATAGGATTTTCCCATTTAAAGGCAAAGAGGTCCCTACACCTAAAGTCGAACCCAGAATGCATCTTTTAGATCCACCACACTGAACTGCTTATGTTTATAGTAGTATCTTACCTAAAGAGGGTGTAGGGGTTAGGCACCACCGGGTGACAGGTCTCAACAATTTCATTTATATCCCTTAGATCTTGCACCAATTTATGTGACACATTAGGCTTTTTGACTGCGAGAATTGGAGTTATTGTATGGTGACATGCAGAGTCCTAATAGTCCTTCTTCAATGAATCCCTTTTTTACCGGTTGGAGACCTTTTCTCCCTTTAATAGAAATGGGATGTTGTTTTTTGCAAACTACATCTCCTGGCTGTTGTAGTTTAATCTGTAAGGGTGTGATTTTTAACCATCCCCTGTTGCCTTTCCTAACCCAGACAAGGGGATTAATTTTTTTTTCTCCTCCTCTGTTAGGAGGCCCACCTTTACTTTTATTTGTCCTTCCTCTATTCCTGATCCTAAACCCAATCTCACAATCATGTTTTAACCCAGGAGATTAGTTCCTGCTTCAGGAACATATAACAGTGACTCCTCAATTTGTTCAGGTCGCAATCCAATTAACATTTTCTTGAATATTGGAACCTGAAATCCCTCCCCTTTTACTCCTAACACTGTCAGGTTTTTTTTGTTTGTTTGTTTGTTTTTTAGTTTTATGCCACTTGGTTGGTGAATCAGGGAGGAGCGAGCTGCTCCAGTATTAATCCAAAATGTTACTTCTTCCTCCGATCCCACCTTCAAATTTAGTAAGAGTTCCTGGTGGGTCCTACTCAGAAGGAACCCCTAAACCCTCTAGTCTTCATTAACAGTTATGAAGGGGATTACCTTTTCTTCTTTATTCCATTCAGAACATTTTCTTTTAAAATGTCCTGGCTTTCTAACTTGTAACATTTACTCACAGTCTTAGGAGGCTTTTTCCTGCATTTCTCAGCTTCTCTGTGTTGAAATCTGTCAGTCCCTTGTCTCCTTTGAGAGGGATCTTGATGGAGCCTTTTTTGGACTACCTTTTTCCCAATGGAAACTATGATTTTTGCTTTTTGTTTCTGATTTTCTTCCTCTCTCCTTACAAAGACTGTCTGAGCTTCCCTCAGTAATTCCTCAATCAGTTTCTCATTTCATTCTTCAATCTGTTTTTCTAATTTTTTATAATGTTAGGCCAGCTCTTAGTTACAAAATTAACCTTTAAGAGGCCTGGCCCTACTGGGTCCTCTGGATCTAATTAGGAGTATTTTTTTTTCCCCATCTAATCTCTGAGCCTCTGTAGGAATGCAGATGTTGTTTCCTCTTTTTCTTGTTGAATCTTGTATGTCTTTGAGACATTTTGTGTCCTAGGAGTGAACTCTTTTATCCCTTTATTAGTTCCCTGAGCTCTTGCATTTGGGCCTAGTCCCTGGGATCATTATTATCTCATTAAGGATTAA